TCTTACATACATATGCATAAACACACAGCTGTAATACTGTCCTATAAGTCATTTCACAAAGCTATTACCTTTAAAGGCTGATTACATTGTGAGTAATGGCAAATGAGATTTCCCCGTAAAAAACAAAAGGCAAAATTTTGTCTGATGATTGTGCAGAATGATCTAAAGTATGTCCATTTTAATTTCCATTTAAAAACGGCCATCACAGAACATTTAGGCCTACCTGACCAGAATCACATGGGAAGAATCCTCATTTCCTAAGTGTACGTTATGCTCTTCTACGTAAATCTCCGCCACCAGACACAGATCAGTCGGTGAAGGGACAGAGTGACTGAGGCCAGTCATATATCTCATGTTAGTGCATGAATTTCCACAATGGATTCTGAGAAACACAGATCAAAAGACGAAAAGCCTGCACAGCTCATGTAATGGATTCTGGATCAAACGGCCCTCGTGCATCGGACATCACAAAGCAATAATGTAGGAATGAATCATCTTTATTAGACACACACAGAGCAAATGGTGCTTTAAAAAATGGCACCTTTACACTCTGCAGTTTCCCTGTAAAGTAGGATTACTCGCTAAACTACAAACACGTGAATGATACAACACAACCGAACAGCAAACTGAGAGCCCCATTGTCGCCTTGGGCGCGTTCCAAAACACTGTTGAGGTGCACAGTAATTAAATCCAAACTGCTGCGATTCCTCTAAAAGACTTTAATCAAACATGGAACATTGTGAGGATCTGGGGCAGAGCTGGCCATTAGCCGGCATCCAGTCACGTGTCCGCTCCCCCGAATACCTGACTCTGTCACCCCCCCGGGGAGGGGGGGGAGGGGAAGCGCCCTTCGACTCAAGGCCAGGGCATTCCCGAGGAGGCCTGATGACGAGGGATCCGCCCATCGCCGGCTCCCGCAGGCCTGTCCTGAGCGCCATAGGTAAGCAGGCCGCCGGCAGACAAACAGGCAGCACGCAGAGCTAGGGCGTTTCACACACCGCTAGCTTGTGGTCAGCGACGTCAGATCCCAGGGCTGCACGTAGCCCGTATACGAACAGACGGGAATTCAGAGTTCAGAAAGACTCAGAGTTAAACTTAGCAATTAGGATGTGGGAGTAAAAGCCTTAATTATCCTTAAGGAAACAACACAACACAGATAAGTAAGTAAATACACCAACCAATCTTAAACGAACATATAAGACCCTCCTTCAGAAGTTTAATTAAACTGGAGTAAGGATATTTAAAAAGTCAAGCATCACCAACACAGAAGAATTATAATGGGACACAGCATTATAGTTAATCTTATTTCAAGTGAACATCCTACAGCTTGGATCAGATTTAGCTATTAGCTACATTTACCTATTAGCTTGATAAGAGACACAGAACTGTAGAGGCAGCGTTTGCTAATATGGCGCTGATGAGGGCAGCTAGCTCTCGGTGTATGTGGGGCACATACAGGGTAAACAGCTCGCGGTTTCCTGCCTTCGTTGGTGACATTCTCATTTCTGCCTACACCATAAACAACGTCAACAGGCAAGATGCTATATTATCAGACTGTAGCGTGTGCATCTTCAGATCTTCAGTACAGGGGTGAAGTGCCGTACACCGTGGGGGGGTGGGCGGATATCGCCCCCGGAGCGACCAATCCTGGATCGGGCCCTTTAATGTCCAAGAGCGGGGGCCTCGGAATTCGCCGGGCATGGGTGAAGCAGTAAGCCTGTGTGTTACTTTAACTCTGGGGGGGGGGGGGGGGTCAGCATCTGTCAGTCATTATCCAACACGGAGAAATAGCACAAGAGCACAGGAGCTACCCTTTCTGCATGAATGCCAGAGACGGCAGGGCTGTCATGATTCTCTGAATCTATGGTTCAGCTCATCAGCTCATACCTCTTTTTTTTCGGGGGGGGGGGGGATACAAAAAAATGGACAATAAAATTCTCAGTTTTATTAATCACCAATTAACAGAAGACCACAAAGACATGTTAAATATCTTAACTTCACATAAAATAACAATCAAAAATACATTTAAAGAATAAAATACTACACTGGATAACCAAAACTCTCCCGCACTGCCGACTTTAATGCGCCCCTGTGTTCTGCAATCTCAGAGGTATTATCCATCTTGAGCTAATGAAACTAGCCAATCCTGATTGGACCAAAATAGTCACGTGACACACGCAGTTGGAAGGTGAAATGTGTAATTTACAAAATACACAGCTTGCTGTAACTTTAAATAGGATAATAATTTAGTGAGTGTTTTAGCGTTAGTTGAAATGAAAATGAGGTTTTTTTTACATTAGTAGCATAATGAGAGCTCAGGCTGCATCTACAACATACAAAATGTTTGTATTGTGTTTTTGTTCTTGGATACAGAACCGTTACACCACTAACAGACATTCTGAGCCATTTTAAACCTAGCCCTAAATTTTTTAATGGAAAAATACAGATAAATGATGGTCTAAAACGTAAATAGTCCTCTTGGTAAATAACAACAGATTCCCTAATCTGCCTGAGGGTGACGAACATCCCTTTATTATTTGAAAAATCACATAACATGGCAACTAACTGTCAACTGAAATGGTATTTGGCTTGACAGCAATACTGCATGAGATGAACCTTAAACCACAAAATCACAGGCTGTCTCAAATGAAGAACAACCTGTTATCCTTGCATGCAACAATGATTTCCATTGGTCGAGCTAGTTCAAGGTGCTCTTTCAGCTCTTTCTTTAAAGGACGGAGGCAAACAGAAACGTTTGGTCACCCTCCTGCGTTACAGTCACTTCATCAAGTCACTTACTTCCCCTTCTTAGCATTTAAGATAGCACTGCTATGCACTGTAATCTCCGTACGTCACCCAATTCACCGAAACCTTACCACACTTCAGAGGTCAGATTGGGGGCTTAGCGAGAGAGAGAGAGAGACACCATGTCACCAATGTACAATGCATGAGAAACATAGACCCACTTTCCATCTACGGCAATAAATATTCTGCAATAAGACTTCCATGCAAGCACAAGTATGATGTGATCCTTAAGTAAAATTTTTGGTAGTTTATGCATAAAGAAGCCTAACACTGCCATCTATAACTCTGATGTATTATATAATACACATCTATCCATCTTCCAATCGGGGGGGGTGCAATGCTGGGGTACCACCACTCTGGGTGGGATGGCGGAGACAGGCACACACACAGACAAGTACACAGATATGCCTAACGATATTTTTTTATGTTTCAATTGCCCTCATACATGGGGAGTAAAGCCAACATTAAAAAGGATGTTCGACAATACTGACTAATTCTCAAGCATCTTCGGGATTCCCTCAGAGACACACAGTCAGCCAGACACATGTCAGCACGCTGAACCAGGCGACGTGACACGATGTCACCTACTCAGCAGGGACGCGCCGAGACCGGCTCGGAGCCTCACCTGTGTGTCAGGACGCATTTTTCACGGAAGTGCGATTACAGCTCCATCGCCAGACGGAAACGCATTTTCATCAGGAGCGGGTTCCGGGACACACGAGGCACGGCGACCCTGCAGCCCGGCCCTCTTTCACTCCTGACTGATTCAGAACAATGTCTTATTTGTTTTCCTGAGTTACGGGCACATTCCCTGTTTTTGTGCCGTTACACTGAAGTGAACGGCAGGTATGAAAACACCGAATTGCACCACTGCAATGCAGACATAGTTCCCTGTCCTTTGAAGACTGGTTTCATCACCTGGACTGCATGTGTTGCATATTTCCAGATCGCAATCTCAGCACGTTCATCTCAAAGTCCTACAAAGAACTGCACTCCCCCTTTGTAAAGCGCTAAACAGATGTTTCACATTTTTTTCACCTTCGCCGACACACTCTGGTTTTCACGTTGGAGAGAAAAGCCCAGTGGAGCCTCTCGCCGGAAGCCATTACCCTGTTCCTGAAAGCCTGCCCCTCACAGAACACCTGTGTGGCCAACACAAAGAGCCCATACTTTCACCTCCTAATAAATACCCCAGCACGCGCCCCAGCTACTTCAGCCGGCCTGCAGGATTTAGCTGCACTTAAGAGCAGTTACCTAATGCCTTCCATTATACCCTCTTTCGTTTTGGCTCTTTTCTGACCCAAATGCACTATAAATCGCGAGGCAGGATTAAAATCGCCCGGAGATCAGTACGCATTAGGTTGCAACCCGTCGCGAGTCGGTTTTGGACCAGAACACAAAGTGTTCCGGACAAGAACCTGAGCTGGGCGGTAGAGCTTTTTACCTGTACTCCTGGTTGCCCTGGTATCTCCTGCCAGTGACGGCTCTTTGAGATGCAGTCTCCATAAGCAGCTTCTCGGTCAGCCGGTTCGAGGGCGTCGACTGGCACTCGTGCTGCTCCTCCGGCTCGCGGCCGTACCGCCATTCTTCGTCTTCGTTCAAGGTCGGTAAGTATCCGGGCGGAACCTTGCCATTCCCCAAAGACGACGACTGATCGCCGTACAACTTGGGACTCTCGCCACCGGTCCGGGTGTATTCCAGATAGATGTCGGACTTCAGGAAGACGGGGTACGTGTTGTCTTCCATCATGGTCTGAATCTCAGTCTGCGCCTGGTCGAACATGGCGGGGTCGATGTGCAGCTTCATCACGCATTCTTTTATGAAGCTCTTGGTAGCAGGCTTGATCTGCCTCGACACGATGCCATTGTTGTCCAGGATGTACTTCCTGTAGATGGCCTTGGCCAGCTTCAGCTTCTTCTCATCGCCACACTCTCCGGCCTCCAGTTTCCGGAAGCCGCTGCAGGCGAACCAGAAGTCCAGGAGGTCGGCGCAGTCCTCCTGCTTGAGGAACGTCCTGAAAAGGTGGATGCCGTCCTGGTCGTCCAGCAGCGAGTGCAGGGATTCGGCCCACTTGACATAGGGCGGGGTGGGGGAGGCGCTGCCCTCAGGCTCATAGCCCAGGTCCAGGTCAGGCCGCCGCGGCGTTGCCGTCGAGGCCTCGCTCTTGGCGGCACAGAAGCTGTAGCTATACTGCCGCACATTGCCAGACACCAGCTCCCCCTCCTCCCCGGGGACGGGGGGTCTCGGAGCATCCTCCGTAAAGTTGCCCCCCAGGTCCACCGGGTAGCGCTTCTCGGCGACGCTCACGCTCATCCCGCCGGCACAGACGAAACTTGGCGACGATTAAAGGCGGACGTCCTCTCGCGCTGCTGCAAAAATCCTCCTGCAAAGACAGGGCAGACGAGAGAGACTGAAACACGCTGCAGGTCACAGCGGGAAGAACGGGCAGCCAACCTGCAGTGTCTGTTTATTTTATGTAACACAACTGGGAAGGTCCTGCCTCTCTGACACAGAGATTCCTCAGTTTCATCAGCATCTGAAACAACAAAGCTTTTAAACTTTTCTAAATCCTTTTATCAAAAAAGAAACACTATCAAAGGTCATTCTAATTGTCAACCGGCAGCGGCAGTATTTTTCTTTTTTAGAAAGATCACGTTCATGCAACAGTATGAAACGTCAATTTCAGCAAGATCTGGCCTGGGTAAATTCTGCGCATAAATTTACAGCTTTGTCAGGTTGTGAAATTGGCAAGCTGGACAAATTACAGGGGGAAAAAAATATTACGGAAAATGTGTAAAATGGATTCACCTCTTGCCAACAGCAGTTTCGAAATTAATGCTGTAAAAATGCAGAAAGTGACAAATCTCACACTACTTCCTGTGCAAATTATATCTTAAGGAATTTCTTCAGAAAACTGACCAGCAGAGAATCAAGGAACACTAATTGGGGTGGAGATAATTTCCTAGTTTGATGGCATGAATCATAACACAGTCATACAGGGTGGTTATCTAAGAAAGGGCATGTTTCTACGGTCTTTGATGAAGACATCTATGCTACATCCCAACCTTATGTAAATAACATACATTCAAAAAACCTAATCGCCTTTTTGACTGAATCCTACAGGCCCAACATCAAGATACATGGAAGCCTCATGAAGGTATACTACGGGGAATCGACCACACCACCGTGTGCGAGATTCACAGCCACAGGGTACCACAAAGTGGCACCTTACCTAACGCATCTGACGTCGGCGGACAACTTTTTCACCAGGCGCAGGAATTAAGGACAGGAAATGGAACGACGGGTGTATTTTAACTGTCCCTCTTGACTAAACCTGCTGAATGTAGGGTAGGATCGTACACGATTTCCTGTTTTTGTATATAGTGATGCGTTTTGTTTTACGAGAAAGAGAACTGAAATGAAAAAACGTGGTATGATTTGTCAATCGAAATTTCAGAGTAGTACGATGAATATGCACAATTTGCATGACTCCGCGCTGACAGTATCCTGATCAATTACAAGAAACAATAGTTTAAATCATTGTTTAATGTTATTCTGATTCTCCAACGACAAAAAGCATCCAGTCTCCAAAATATTAGACAAAAGGGTATTTATATTTATACACACAATATTATACATTTTCTCTCGAGTGATTTAACTTTATTCTTTATGTATTTAGAGTCCACAGGCCGTTGCTTCCCCAGCTAATTCGCTTTATGGCCGCAGATCCATGCCCAGCGACGCAGGCGCTCCGGAGGCGCCTGCTGCGCAGAAACTGCGCCGTCTGCGCGGCGTCTCGACGCAGGCGAGCCGGCATGAATAAAACGGGAAACGGGGCGCGATAAAGCATAGAAAAAAAAGCAGGCAAGGCAAACAGCGATCACAGCTAGCTAGGCGAACAATATAACAGCGAAAACATGCGGACTCGGAGAGCCTCCTCCAAGAGTGCAAGCCGAAGGAGAAATGAAAGCAAAGTATACATGTAACAGATTGGCTGAGTTCATATAAATGCTCCAATAACGTTGTATAAACCTACAACTTACATGAATCAGTTTTTTTGTTTGTTTAAGAGACATTATCCACCCACCCGTTCGGCTCCTTAAGAGAGCGAGAAGGGGGCTCCGGCTTGCGCCAGATGACCCGTCTGTAATTAGGATTTTTTCCCCCCACAATTAAACTTATTAACCGAGTTGAGCCGCCGCACGTGTCCGCACGATGCGAGCGACATTTGCGCAAATGTTAGCCGGTAGGCTAGCTAGCCACCCTGACTGTGACAGTCCCCCCCGACCTCCCCAATCGCGATCGCTTTGAAGTGAAACCCCCCCCCCCCCAGCTGCATGCACGTCTCGGCCTCTCGGAGACTCTGAGGCGGAGATGGATGGGGGGAGGGGAAGAAGAAACAAACTCTGCACACACATGCACACACGGATCGTGGGCAGGGGGGGGGGGTGAGAGGGGTAGAGATAGCAGGCCCTCTGTCAGCCCCGGTGATCAGGGGTATACAACTTTACAGCATGATCCGTACAGTAAGTGCAGCCGCGGCGTCCCCGTCGGTACCCGTCTACCCCACAGACGTGGCTTTGCAGCTCGATCAAGACGCACCGCCGACTCGGGAGAAGCAGGAATTTGATTCAAACACTGCAAAGCGAGGGCACATTTCATCCTCGGCTACCGCAATAAAACCCCCGCGCCCGAAAAGTTTTATACTATACCCGTGAAAGGCTTCCCCCCGCTCCTGAGTGCATCCGGGATCCCGGCGTCTGCGCTCCGCCGCGGATCGCCTCATAACGGCGAGTTGCGGGACTTTAAAAATAACAAAGGGAGCGATCCGCTCCCTTCGCCCTCTCCATGTCTGTGCCTCACACTCTTATTCCGACTCCGCGCAGTGTGTGAAAGAGTGAGAGCGCCGAGCAGGAGCTGCCCAACAGCGCCGCCCGCGGCCGCAAGGCGGAAGCGCAGCGTGGAAAGCGAAAGCAGTAGAATTTGGCTGTGCAGTCCACAAAAACTCAATGCATTATTTTCTTGCAAAGCAATAGAGTGTAATGTTAGTGCAAAAATGGGGAAAATACTCTCTTCAATATACTATACTATAAACATATACAATTTTTAATACAGAGGTCTAGTTATGTTAAATTGGGTCCTATTATGTACAAAAATTGCTCTGATTCAAATTCAGAGTTCACTATTAATACTGTCTCGAGTGCGTGGTTTGTTTACGGAGTTTCCTTATATTAGAAAATGGCTATTGCAAACTGGTCTGAGCTGACAACCTGCCCAACCAAATGAGAGATTACATGCTTTAAGCAAAGATGTCACATTTCATGCTACACTTTATCAGTGCAATATCATCATTTCATAGCTTATCAGAAAAGGATCTACAGTATAGCAATTTATATTTCACACCCAGTAACACTCAATACCCAGTGACCCTGTCCAAGATAAGCAGTTGGATGGATGGATTATCAGTCAATATTTTACATTCTGAAAAAAACGGCCGAGTTGTATTCATCCAGGAAATAGTATTATTACGAAACTGTAGTTGCACGACAAGAAAGAACATAGACAAAACATACCCATAAAAACATGTTTCATAAAGTGAAACGGTCGATATATTTTTAAAACGGTCAACCTCCGTATCTCGCTTTACGACCATGCATGCTTTACATATAAAGGCTGCCGACACGCTTAAACAAACGATGGTTTGGCAATCATTAAAATTTCCAAAAAAAAAATTAAGAACAATGAATCAGAAACGTTGTTTTTTACTGAAAATATCATGAACAGTTTGAACGCTAAAATTAAATAGGTCTAGATTTCTTGTTGAAACGGTCCTGCATGGCATAATATTGTAGCGCCGGAGCATGCTGGGAAAATTGTAAACAGCCCCTGTTTCTGTTATTGTTAATACTTGTTGTGTTCCCGATTGTCGTGAGTACCCTTGACTTTGACATACATGAACAATCCTTGCGTATCTTGATATGTAAATTACCCACCGTATGTGTGCCTTATTGTGCTGCGACTGACTCCCGTGTCCCTAAAACTACTTGTTTGGTGTCTGTTACTACTTCTAAGGGGAGAAAGGGAAGGCATTTTTCTCTTTTTAGTGGAAGTCTAGTTCAATCACAGCGCTATCACCATGCTTTAGTCTGCTAAACATTACATTGGTGTCAGAAGTGGGATACCAGAAGCAGCCCCATTCGTAGTGCCTTACTCCACCTCTGACAGCTCACTCTAACTTAGCAGACCTACAGGCAGCAGTGAAGTGGCGACACTGGAGAAGAAGCGCCGATTCTCCTGAGAGGACGGCTCGGGATAATAAGTTCGTCTGCTGGTATGCACCAGGCACTGGGCACACTGCTGTAAGCCCGTGCCAGAGCTGCCAGAAGATGAGCAGGGATGATGGAGAGATGGAGGTGCCACCCCGAGCTTCCAAAAGTCCTGGACACGTGCAGCAGACACTGAACCCACCCGTTCCAGCCTGCCAGACCCCCAACCTGCCGCAGCACGTCCTGAAACCGGCCCTTCCAGTCCGCCAGGCCCCTGTCGTACCACAGCGCGCCCTCAAGCCACCCATGCCAGCCCACTGGCTCCTCTTCCATGATGGCGTCAGCAGGCGGGGAAGGCAGGGGAGCTCCCAGAGGCTCTGCCTGCTTGTCGGCCATGAGGAGGCGTGGCACATGGTGGAGGTTCAGCCTGGCACACGGGCACCGCGAGCTGGACGAGCAGGAGTGGCAACGCCAGCAGGACCAGGAGTGGCTGCACGAGGAACTGGCTAGCTGGGAGTGCGAGGGCAACCGCCAGAAGTGTCAAGGTGGCATTAGCCGGCCACAAGGCAGTATTACTTAGCCGTTAGATGGCATGCTGTGCTCTGGAGGCACAGCTGGCCCAGGAGCACAGCGAGCTGGCAAAGCAACGGGAGTTGGACCAGCAGTGGATGCATGAGTCCCTTGAGCAGCAGCAGTGCAGCCTGAAGGTGCTGTGAGAACAGCTGGAGGAGTGGGAGCGGTTGCACACGGCTATCAGAGTTGCGGAAAAGGAGGACCAGCAGCGGAAGTAGCTTGGTAGTCAGCAACAGGTTCCCACCAAGCCGCATGGGAGGAGGGTCTGGGACCCATAGGGACTCATACCCCCAGGCCCTGATGGCTGCCCAGCGATCCCTCTAGCTGCCTGGCCCTGCCAGCAGTCCTCAGCTGGTCCACATGTACAGTGACGACGGAGCTCTAGCAGCTGCCACTATTGCTTCGGGATTCATTGGAGGATATAGCGCAGGACTGGCTGTGGTGGTCGCTGGGATGGTCAACCTTTGGGAGGGGAGCTGAGTAACGCCAGAGCATGCTGGGAAAATGTAAATAGCCCCTTGTGTGTATTGTTAATACTTGCTGTGTTCCCTGTTGTCGTGTGTGATTTTGCGTGAACCCTGTCTGATCCTCGCGTGTCCTTGGTCATTGTATAAATTACTTTGTGTGCCTTACTGCCCAGCGACGGACTGTGGCGTTCGCGTTAGTCCTTTTAAGGGATTAATAAAAGGACATTCTTTTCCATTAAAGCAAGTATTTTCGTTTCTCACCACCGCCACGATACCTCGGTCTGCCAGACATTACAATAGCCTATATTAAGATGTGATTAGCTATGATACGATTTTTTGCAAATATCTTAGGTATATGTAAGAATTATTTGTGAGAAGAACCCAAGTATATTAGGCCTACTCCAATTTAAAATTTACTTTGCACAGTATAAAAATGTGACGTTGTAACCTTTAATCTCGGTTCTCAGGGAACCAGGTTGGTCTGATTTCTGCTGTAGTAAATGCCAGCCTCTTCACCCTACTTTTATGTTTAGCTGAGTGGATTTCTAAGCAGACTGGCTTTGCTTAGGAATCTGAAACCAAAACCAAAAGGCACATCTAAGACTGAAACCTATTTGATAAAATAGAGGCTGACATAATTACCGGAAAAAAATAAAGTACAGTTTAAATTCTTGAAACACCCCTGGCACATATTGACATCATAAAACCATAAACCATCATAAAACCAAAAAAGCGCTGCAGTTTGCCAGTTCCGCCCAATTCCGTTTCACGGCCATAGAGAACAGTAGTATCTATATGATATTCTGACCAATATATAAAACAAAACGAGCACAAGATTAATATGACCGTTATATGATTCAAAATAACGTAAATCATCTGAGCTTTTGAACAGCGATAAATAGTCTACATGCGGATCTCGACAGTTATAGTGTAAAAGGTAAAATCTGTGTACTAACAATGTCAATAACAAATACACATATATTCACATATTAAATTGTAATTCAGTGTCTCTGTCGTTATCGTTATTGGGAAATAACGCACTTAGCATTAAATTAACAAAGTTTTCCAGTATCTAGCAAATATACGCGAAAACTGCTCAAACAACAATTTTCCAAGTGATCTTAAGAAAAAGGAGAAAACAAAGAATTACCTGTTGCGTTTCAGTTAAACGTTTAATCAGGGTGTTACGAAGGAGCTATCCAGGCATCGGTAATAAAGCAGGGAAAGAGAGGTGGAAAAATACCAACGAGCATTGCTTTCGAACTTCTGTCCACATGCAGCGAAACAGCTGAAGCATATATTAATCCAGGTAGGGTACAGGGGGAAAGGACAAATGGGATCTTTAGCAGTAATACTGCATCTCTCGCCAGCCGCGTTGCCTACTCGTCTGCGAAGTGACGCTGACATTGACAGCTCCGTGCCGTAGAGACAATCTGCTCTCCTGCCTTTTCTACACCAGATTAAGTTTGCGCTGCATGCGCAACTGCAAGAAGGAAAGCAGAAAAGATTATTTACTACAAAACAAGATTGCCTAACCCCGTCACACCAAACCCAGAAACATAAGTGTGCAAAGCAGAGTCATCAAGAAAGCGCAATCATGAAAAGCAATTGCTTACTTGAACCTCTTGAAATATTCAAATCAATTCATTCATGCATGCTTCTCCGTTTAAATTAAACCAAGGAAATGCATATCGTCTAATTTAAATATTTACAGATAAAGCAATTTTATTACTTGGTGCATCCAAAAAGAGTGAAAAGCACCAGGAATAACACCTATAGAATGTAGTACAGTGCAGCGAGGGATTTTTGAGTCAAGCAAAGGGAATTAAGACACGTTGCGATCACGCCAGTACTATATCCCTTAAGTGTGCAAAAAAGACACAAAGGATGACCTTGTGTTATTAAATTTCGACGATAAACGTTTGCGGCTTGTCCCACAGTTCGTCGTGTAATCTTTTCAAGTGTAAAAAAGATTCATTTGAAATTCAAATTAAAAGATGGGTTCAAATACAATCTCTTGAGTCCACTCAGTGTAATCATGTGTGCTTTTTCTTCATTTATGTGATTGTGGCTCCGCGTGACGTATAACCATTTACTATGCTTTCAGGAGTCAGTTTTCTCTCTTCTGCTGACATGTTTTACTAGTTGCAGGTTTATTCAGAAGCATTCCTCGATTTTCATGTGCACACACACGCCTGACACTACTAGTAGGCTATTACCAAGTAATATTTTATTGGCCGTTTATTTGCAATGAGCTAATATGAATTTATTGAAGAACGTTGCCTCCATTTGCTGCTCCATTCCCGTTTCTAATAATTTAGATCTCTAATTTGTTACTTGAGACAGGAGTCGTGCAAGGGCAACACGTCCCCTGTAAGCTCACTTGTTGCTTGCTTACCGCCCACTCTTGAAGAGTATTCGGGATTCGTCTGGTCATACGAAACGTCCTGCGTGTCCTTGTAGTAATAAACCGGTTGTGTTTTGGCAGCAACAATTCTCACCTCTCTGACAAGTGCCATTAAAGCAGATGGCGTTAGCTGCTGGTGGACGCATTACTGTCCAAGTGAACTTGTAGAATGCTATGTGGCCTGCTTTAGGGAAATATTAAAATCCGCACGAATATTCTGCATGCTACCTTCATGATAATTTAAATATCAGTAGATGAACAGATTCAAGAATATTCCACTACTGGTGATCATAGGCAACTCTAGCCTTTTCTTCCACAAAGGATGCAATTATAGAGAACCCAACCAGTCGTTCATCCAGGCAAATAAACAAACAAACAAATAAATCTACAATAAATTATTACACATTTTTATGACTAAAACATGCCACATTTTGAAATCTAAGCTTGACTTTATAGTATAATTACTTTTATTGAACTGTTGTTTTAATGTGTTCAAACAGCATTTTCATGAGTAGGGTGTGCAACAGCACCCCCTGCACCCTCGGTACAATCGCCTATGCTGGTGATTGATTCAATTCTACTGGTGCTTTTGATATAAAATATAGCTTGGGTTTGTTGAAATAAGACTTCGCTTACATGAGTAAATAAAGAATAAGTCGAACTTTGCAGCTCTGTAGGTCAATAAATGAAGAACATAGCTGAGTACATGATATGCAAATTCACGACATTCACGAGGGCGCGTGCAGTCTATTGATGAACAAAGAAAATTCTATACTATGAAATTTATATCTGTTTATAGTACAGATAAACTGTTGCGCCTTTTTGACATGCATAATAAAAACAGAGAATAAACTCCGTCGTGTATTTTTAAACACATCACGAATCATGGGTTAATAGTAATAAAAATTATACCGTAAAGCCAAGGTCCATAACATCAAATATATCACATGAGTAGAATAATATGGACGTAATAAATATGATTTTGAAAACCTACACGATTTTAATGTACATCTTGTACGGTTTTGAAGTCATTTGAAGCATAAATTTTCTACATCGCACACAGTTAAAGATAATACAGGTAAATAAAGCGAATTTATAATGGCTTGTCACAAACGAAAGACCGCACCCCCCAGGCACGCTGATCCTCTCGTGATGCGTGCAGGGCCCGCACCTCTGGCCACCACGCGTGGAGCAGTACATGCAAAAACGCTCCGGGGTTTTATCGGAGATTTTTCACGCCGCAGCCCGGTGATCCTTCCTCCCTCCAGGTGGCCTCACCTGAGCTGGCCGAGAGGCGCCCTTAATTAGCTCGCTGCTCCTCGGGGCCGCCGAAATAATGGCCTTTTAATGCGGCTGTCGAAAGTCACGGGGAAAAGGGAAGAAGGAGCGCCGAGTGAATAAGAAAGATTTTTTTTTTTGCGAATATCTTTTTATTCTTTAAGACTAGAATGGTTATATGAGCCCTTAAAACGACATTCCTGTTAACCAGGCCGGTCTCTATAGGCCTATTCATGTGAATGTCTAGTGTTTTTTTTTCGTGTGCGGCTCATGTGGTCTGTTTTCTGGTTTTATTTATGAGGGCCATATCGTTATCGATATTCGACATTATTATTATTATTATTACGCCTATTAAGCTGATTATTGTAAGAGCCATCTTTGGGAGGTGCACCCTATACAGCCGCACTGGGATGTGTACTCTAGGGGACTCCTCAAATGGGAAACTTGGCTGTATAATGGTATGCTAAATGATATTATGATACCATGTAATTTTATTTATCTATGCCTGTTTATTTTCATTGATTGAATGCAGCTAAATTTAACCATAAATAGAACTTTGTTAATTTAGCTGAATTATATATGGCTGTAACAATATACATATTCGCTGTGTACAGTTCAGTACATGGGGGGTTGGGTTAGGACGTTTCCAAGGGCCCTAAAAATTTAGGAAAATAACTGTATTGGTCTGGACTGGGGGGCCCAATATGATATGCTTTCATGGGGCCCAAAAACTTTAGCAATGTTCCTGGATACAATTACACCAACACCAGAGACAGAGAGTAGTTTCTCTGTTGAACTGTGGAGCCCCTTAGGTGTCATGGTAGAAAAAAATATTATCTTGTAGTAATTCCTGCTCTGGAATTGGTAATTTGTGCGCTCGAGTTATTAATTCATGCTCTCGAGTTACTAATCCGTGCTCTCTAGTTACTAACTCGTGCTCTCGAGTTACTAATTCGTTCTCTCGAGTTACTAATTCGTGCTCTCTAGTTACTAATTCATGCTCTCGGGTTACTAATTCATGTGTTACAATGTGAAACCATATTGTATTGAAAGGTAATCTGTGCTCTCCTTTTTCTTCAATTTATTTTGAACTATGCAGTGGAATATCACCCTTACTGAAACCAGTAAGTTACAATCACCAATCACGATTGGTGATTAATTTGAGAGCACAAATTACTACTAACTGAAGTTTACGAATTTGTAACTGGAGAGCACAAATTACTATGAGATAATATTTTCTACCATGACACCTAAGGGGCTCCGTATTACACCGAACTCGATATATCATCTAAAGGCATGTAGGACCACAGTAAGGGATAAAAACCTTGTGCACGTTAAGTCTCCCTGTGGCATTTAAAGGTACTTTTTCAAGGAAATTCTGAAAAATATATCTGAAAAATAACTATAGGCTATAGGGATGTTTATCACTATACAGATATACGACCATTCGCAATTTAGTCCATTATGATTGTTATGATAGCATAGTTTTGTTTTTTATTTATTTTACATAATTGTTTTTACAATGTGCAAAGAAGCATCTCTTAATTAAGTTTTGTTATTCAGACCCGTCGACAGACGCATTGCCTTTGGTTCGCAACTGTTCCTGTCTGTTTTTGTGTTTGCAGTTTCAGCAATAAATAGTTTGAAAATACATTCTGTTTTCCCTGCTGCCCCGAAACTGAACCCTGCCCTGAGCCCAAAAACGAGGTTTGTACCGAACCGTGAGGTTTGTGTACTGTTAGGCCCCTACTAAATATAACACTGGAAATACACTAAATACACTAAATGATGTTGCAGATTGGTGCTCACATAGCCTAGGCTAACGTAACCTGCGTAGCCACACTACCTTTGGCGCTAGCTAGCCCAGAAAGGTCACACTGTAGACTGTCAGCGATCGCTGAGTTATTATTATTATTATTATTCATTACAGTTGGATCTGTACTGCAATGCCCAAGCAGTTGCAGGCACAGCGATTCCCATAACTTGGGTTATCGGCTGCTGTTGTGTCCCTGAATAAGTGGGCTTGTCCTGGCTTCCGCCGCTCCTCAGAAACGGGCCTGGTTCGTGTTTTTGTTTTATGACTCAATTTGCCTTTGTTTTTGTTTACTTTGTATAACACATTTTTGGTTTTGCTCTGGGTGTCAGAGTTTGTGCATGAACCTTATTTTTCTGTTTTTGAGCAGAGCTGTAGCCTAATTCTGGACGGTAACTTAAAATGAAACCACAGGGCTTAACGAATAAGCAGGAGAAGCCGGGGAGATGGGAGGATATCGTAAAACGTAGGATAAATCTGGAAGGAAATAAAATTACCGCACCTGTCGGTTTTATTTCTGATCTACGGATTCAGTGTTTCAACAAAGTGACCTCGTCCCCCTGCCCATCCTGTAGCACAGCTTCCGTACTCGTTTGGTAACTCTTCCTTTAATAAATCAGCTTTTTGTTCTTTTGCCTGTTTTGGTTCCCCTCCTTGACTGTCTGGCTGCCTACGTCCCACCTGTAGAGCATTATGGTTTTTCCAAGTCAGCTGTTTCTGTTTTAGTCATTATTTCAGTCTTATCGACGAAAACATCATAATTTTAGTCTAGTGCACACAAGAAATAGTGCATATTTTAATAATAAGCACTTTCAGCTAAGCTGTATACATAAATAAATTCCAACAAAACTGAAAATTAAATACATCATAATTGTTATAAGCTGCTAGTACATATAATTATTACTTTGTGATAACCACTTAATAATAAAAGTGTAATACAGGGGTCTCAAACTCCATTCCTGGGGGGCCGGAGCCCTGTGTAGCTTAGTTCTTTCCCTGTTCCACCACAAATGATTCAGCTCAAGAGCTGTGTGGTAATTAGCACAAGGAGTTGAATCAGGTGTGTTAAATGAGGGTGAACCAAAAACTGTGTAGGGCTCCGGCCCCCCAGGACTGGAGTTTGAGACCCCTGGTGTAATAGAAGCTGAAAACAGGTCATTGGCAAAATATCTACACAAGTCTAGTTGTTAGACACCAATATTAATTGAATTTGACACTGATCACTGACAGTTGGATTTTTAAAATATGATTATTACTTTTCAGCATATCGATAGTATATATAAGTCTACCAGAGAATTTTACCTCAGGTTTGCTTCAGATGTTTGTCTTTAGAGGATTTAAAAATAAAGGATCACTATCACAACTATATACAGATACGATTATTAGCATTTTAGGTTGAAAAGCAAGATGTCTGCTTTGTATCCATAAAGGATTATGTCCAATGCAAGATATATGCTGATTATGCATAAACTACATTTATGCAAATATTTGCAATGTAGTTAGACATGAATGATTCAAGTAAAATCATAATTTTATGTGTATTTTTTTTTTTTTAAATGAACACTATTCTTGCTAAATAGTGAAAAAAAAATGTAGTGCTTCTCTGTAGACTTAAAAAGACTATTCTCCATTATTTTTTATGGATTTTTAAAAAATGAATAATACAATAGATTTAACTACATTTAATTACAGTAAGACTAGAAAATGTATTTAAATGTTTTTAAGACTAAAATACATTTTGTAGCAGGTAGGAGACAAGTATGCATTGAAACAAATGACAGTCAGCAAGATAAACTGACTAACAAACTGGGTGTTGAATTAACTTCAGTTTCTACATTTTTTCTAGTAGTAGTAGTAATAATAATAATAATAATAATAATAATAATAATAGTTTCATGTCCACCAGGTAGCAACCAGGCTCCAGGGGGCCTGTTGATTATATGTCCAGGGAAAGGTTCACAGAAGCACATGCCTGCCCATCTGCTAGCTGGACGCGCTCTGAGTCAAACAGGAAGCCTCTGCAGAGCGGAGTAAGGTCACCGAGGACGTGCCACAGGCTGGACCTCCAAACTCTACTAGAAAATTAAACAAGCACACGGAAGCACATTAGTGGTAAGAGGATATTATTGTTTAAATGGCATTACTGGTGTTTGAACAAGCCGTATGACAATCGATATGGCTAAACAATTGTGGAAGTTGGAATAACATCTGGCCTTTTCTTCTCCTCATCATTTTCATCATTCCAGGCCAGAGAAGTTTGAAGTGGACTTAGTGTGGGATAAACATGAAGCTATTTCTAGATTTCTCACGAGAGAATCACAGACACATGCCACATAACTGTATTAGAACGTCCACCATCTAATCAGTTCTCCCAGTCAGGGAGCATAGGGCACAAGGCCACTTCAGATATCAAGTCACACACTGGTCATTTAGAGAAACCAGTAACCTAACTGTAAGTTAGGGTGAACATGTGAATGCTACACACACGCAGGAGAAGTGGGACTTGAACCCCCAGCCCTGAAGGTATCAGAATAACATGCTAAACGCTGGGGCAGTGTGCCACCCTTTGGTGAAAGGAATTCATATTTATCAAGCAGTTTTTCTGTTTCTACACTGTGTGGCCACATACTAAAGCAGTGTTTCCCAACCCAGTCCTTCGGGATGTCCAGATGGTCCACGTTTTTGCTGCCTCCCAGCTCCCTGCCAGACAGTCCCAAGAGGACCTGGCTGCAGAACACTGGGCAATCTCCACTAGGAGAAACTCCACTGTGGGGCCGGAAGTCACATGACCTCCACTCCTAGTTCCCAATGTTACACTGACATTATATGCAGCGCTATTGCAGAGTCATGACTTCGAGTTTCCTAGCGGCGGTTTATCTTCTGTTATATAGAGAATAATAGGATATAATCCAAGTGTAGATAATAATAATATCCTGTCCTATAGTATAATAATATATTATTATAATACAACATTAATAATAATAATTATTATACTATAATTACATAAATAAAATATAGTGATATATAATATGATATATACACACAAGCATACATATATATCATTATTATTACAATACTATAATACTCATTCCCTAGCTTATAATAATAATTTATTATAGTATTAATAATAATAATAATAATAATATTCTATAGCAATTTTGCCTCCGTTCCTGAGTTTGCAAAACATCATGTCCGAGCCAGGAGTGGAGATCATGCCATTTCTGGTCCCACAGTGGAGGTCCTCCTAGCAGAGGTCACCCAGTTCCCTGCAGCCACACCCTTCTTGATAGTCCACACTTCCAGGAGCTGGGAGGGAGCGAAAATGTGGACTGTCCGGGGCCCCCGAGGAGCGGACTGAGAAAGACTGCACTAATGCATCAGTGTTATGCACCAGTTTTAATGAAACTTCCACATCAGTTTTAAGAACAGGGATTCAAATCATTTCTCTTCAAATCAGCAAAACGGAAACAGATTCTAAAATTCAGGAATGTGTGGCTATGGAATTTATGAATGTGTGGTTACACTCTGGCAAAGATTATGATGTTTGTGTACTAAAAAGCTCTTAGAGAACACACAGAACACAGACATGCACGTGACATTCATTGCACTTGGTCTAAACCTGGGTGTTGCCTGAAAATTTCTCGCCTATGTTGTGCCCCAGACACAACGACAGATGTATCGGCCTTCATCAGGAACAATCCTTCCCTATTATCTCAAAGCTACTGGTAAAAAAAATAAATAAATGTAAACAAAGTATAAAAAATAGGTATTTATTTGACTCAAAGTCCAGCAACCTCGATTACCTCAAGAGATTCCAAACTAAAATAACCTTTTGTTTAAAAAGTAAACATATGTGTTTACCTATTACAAAATAATGTAAGCACCTTAAATAGGAATACCCATGAACACATTGTGTTCATTTTGCAATTGTTCTTTTATATATCATGTTTGTTTAAAGTAATTTTTGTTCCCAGTTGATTTTTTTTCTTTTTGAAATCTATGTGCTAAAGGCACCTGACTTTATAAGAAGAACACCTGGAAACAATTATGAGTAATCTCAGGGTTTAACTGTAGGCCAGCATTCTAAGTACAAAGGAATGTACAAAGGGTTTCCACCTCGTTGGTCTGATTGCATCCATTTATACGAATAATCTTTGGGCACAGATGCTTTAAAACATAAGGCCAGAGAAAACTCATTTCACAATCGTAAAAGAAATGTGTTACAATGTGCAACCATATTGTATTCAAGGTTAATCTGTGCTCCTCTTTTTCTTCAATTTATTTTGAACTATATAGTGAAATATCACCTTTGCGCAAACCACAGATGATTTAGTTTAAATGAGAAGGATTAATTAAATAAAATTAAGGGTTTCTGAGCATCAAAAACATTCCAGAAGATAAAGAAATGATGAGGTTATTTCAGACCTGAAAAACCATTAAAAAATTAATGCCAATGCCAAAGGTTTCTATCACACATTTATATCCCTACTGCTGCACAACAGGATAAACTTCACATTTAAGGGTAGTTTGCTAAGTACTAAAAATTGTTTTAAAAAATGTAAGAAGAGGTAGACTAGTGCCAAGCTCCCGTTTAGCCTATTTACTGCATTGTAACATCAAAACCTTAGAAGAAGACAGCTCCGGTTGGTGAACGGATTCGCTTTTTCCTGAGGAAACGGAAACAGGGGAAGTCCGGACGAGGTACTTACAGCTCGGCACGCGTTTGAAGTGTCAGTGCAGACTGAAGTCTCAAATGACAAAAGAGCGGCTGACAGGAAGAGCTGATTATTGCTACCATGTGTGAGAGAATGTGTCAGCTGCAGGCCGTACCGTGCCGCTCATGAAAAAGAACTCATGAAAAAATAACATTCTGCTTTGAGCACTACAGAGACGATTCCAGAAGAATTATTTGTGTGTGTGTGTGTGTGTGTGTGTGTGCACGAGTGCTTGTCAATAAATAGATTCACCAGTTGGTAATATTTTGAATTTTTCCAGAATATTCCTTGCTTAATATTTAGTGTAAAAAGGAAAAAAAAATGTCTCTTCACATCAAGCTGAGTGCTTTGGAGGATGAGTGATACATAATTCTCTTCTGTATCTGGAGGAACAGCAAAAAAGGGATAGCTTATCTAGGAGCCGCCCGCCGAGACATTGCCTCCTTTGTGTTTACCGCTTTCTCACATGTGTGTTGCTGGGTGAGTCCTGTTTAGCTCTTCAAATTGTGCCATTGCCTAATGAGAAACATCGGACGCTGTCTCCTTCAACGATTCGTCAGGGCGAGGCACCACAAACTGCACATTGTTACCAGAGTCTATTTGTACCAAATTTAAACTGGTAATGGGGAAGTAATGCCATCAAAACAATGGACTTAGTCACGGCATTACGATACCTAAGTCACAATTAAAAATAGGCGACGCCCCTTTTGATGGGGAAGTCTGTCAAGCGACCTTTTGATCTACCGAAAGGTAAATGCATCATTAGCATTGCCTATATGCACAGCTCTCAGACAGCGACAGGCTTGTGATAGAGCCGGACCTCATTAAGAGCACCGAGCATGTTAACTTTCAGTCTGGAGGCACAGTGGGTCGTCCAGCCCAAATCCAGGCAGCTTCCCTGCAAATGCTGGAAGCTGGAAGCGAAATTGAAATAGCGAGAGTCACATCCGCTCTCTCTCTCCCTTCCCACTCATCTGATGATTTATTGAAGGTGGTAGGTTTGGGAATACACATATTTACACGCTCTCCTCAATTCTTAAAATGCTAAAGCATCCCCTTTTACGCTATGAATCAAGCTCCCCTTAAACCTAAGGAGCTATTCAGAGGACTCAAGTATCAAAGGCTAGTGACAGTGAGGGTCTCTCAACATAGGAACGCCTTTCGCACAACACGGCAGCGCTCTGTCGCGTTTAAGTGTGAGATTTCGTTAAGCCTTGCCGCGTAGCCATGCTGTAATTCAAGCCTTTATTTGGCTGTGTACTGCTCCAGTTCTAATTAAAGAACGTTTTTAAGTGAACACATCCCTTCCCTCGCGGGTACATCTCCCTTTTTCCCCGGGCAGCCTGCTCAGCTTGGGGACACGACGCTCACGGGCCGCTTCCCCCAACAATGCCTTTTTTTGATTCGCGGCAGAACACGTCTGAGAATAAATCCGGTCCCGCCCCTCCGATCTGATGATCCGGCCCCTCACGGAAAAGCGCTTGTCTCCTACCATCAAACGACAGCCCTCTCGCGGCGTGGACGGTGACCTCTGGTGCTTCCGCCTTTGGCTGTTGCATTCCACTCTCAGGCCATCCCACAAGTTCGCTTCCAACCAGGACTGAAACTCATCTCCAGGAGGTGCGGATGGAACTCCGGTCAGTGGCCGACCGTGCCGATCCGGGGCAGCCATCGCACCCATTACTCCCTGAAAGAGAAAGGGGAGGCCGTGGCAGATGTGAAGCAGCATTTAAGGTTCCCAGCAGCAGCCTTAGATATGTGGCCATCAGCTGTCCTTCAACAAAGCATCTGGAAGATTAAATTTTGCTTACATTTCTGTGCAAACTAAACATAGACCATGTGACAAATTTCATGTACACATTTTCTGACCTTTACTGAACTATACTTAACTATACTTAACTATACTTAACTATACTTAAAACCAAGATTGTTTATTCATTTAAAAAGCCTTCCTACAGCCAGTCAGCGACGACCCTGAAAACTAAAATCTTCTATCATAAAATCACCCATAAAACACGATTTAATATACCCACACAAAATATTGTGCACGAAATAATAATCTAATATAAATTAATGTACAAATGAAAACTCATATTGTGTATGTACTATTTCAGATTCATTTTGCTTTTTGATTACATTTATGTATTCGATATGCACTTCTTAACAAACTGAGTTTAGTTCTACAGGACAGAATATTGGCTAAAAAGAAATTCAGATACAAAAGGACAGAAAAAATAAGATAATTGAAATAAACATTTAAATTTATTACTACATGACTGCAGTGCCCGATGTGTGCGATTCAGCTGCACTGCTGTGAATTATCCTGAAAATTAAGGCCATAAATTTCAGCTTCTATAAAAAAAATTCCTGCCTATATCCTCAGCGTTATAATTACCTCCCAGCTAACAATGATCTACCCTAAAGAGAAACATATGAACTGAAATGTCAATGACTCAGTCCCAGTGCACTGTTAATTATGACTCCAGAGAGCTGTCAATCACCAGAGCTCAACAGCATCTGAGCCCCCCCTGCAGCAGACCACACAGAAACGCTGAGGGGGCACCCTCTTTCCTTTGTCCATCGGCACAGACACAGATTCATTTAGGAAACCAGAGAGATAACAGAGATCCAACACTTTTCAGCTGTTAGCAAAAGATCAGGCCTGATTATCAGATTGAAAAGCTGATAATCTTATCAAATGAAGATGGATACTTCATTTAAGACAGAGCTTTCTGCTCGCACTATATGATTATGAGAAATTCTCTAGAAGATGTAGATTAACTTTTCATTAGTCATCTGTTTTCAAGAAACAGGGTCATATAAACAAAATCAAACACAATCACTACCAGGCCATGAAACAGTACTGATTCGATCCAATAGCAATTAATCCTGGCAGCGTGGCACTTTAATGTAGAAGCCTCTTTTTTGTGTCTTTAAATACCACGGGAAGGAGGACTGAATGCTATGTGCATGGCTAGTGGAAACTATTGCAGTAATTTGACAGCTGCATTTGGCAATGAAGTGCCTTCTGTGATTGACGGCTGCAGCTGCCAATCAGGTACCTGTGTTCCGTGACTGATTGACAAATGAAGTGACAGGTGCAGTTGCAGCTTAAGTACCTGCCCCAATGCACTGTTGCAGGAGGCTTTGGGAAGGCAGGGGGTGGACACAGGAAGTAATTGGCAGCTGGAGCTGTCTGCTAAGTAGTTTATCCTGGTGAGCTCATAACAAGTGCCAAGGCATCTGTTCCCCCCTCCATTCCCCCCTCCCTCACTTTCTCCTTCCTTACCGGCACCAGTGGCATGTGAGTGGTCAGAGCAGAGGAGCAGTCTAATAACCCACCGAGCTGCAGATGACACTCCACCGAGACTACAGCATGGACATAGACTGCACACACACACACACACACACACACACACACACACACGCGCGCGCGTGCACACACACCAGAGACCATGAGCTTAAAATGCACAAGTAAGGAAACCAGTTTCAGAAATGCAACACAGATTGCGTACATATAGAGCCATATTAAAATGATATTAAAAATATATATATATTGCATTTGCCCAGACTGTAATAGAAGACAGCAGCACTTTAATAACAGAGCAAATGTAAATGATTGATGTAAATAAGACATGGGGTCATTCATAAATTAAAAGAAATGGAAAGGCTGTAGTATTAGAGAAACCCAACGTGGGAATATCTGGTTAGAAAAAGCCAACGGTCTGTGTTGCAAGTGTCCTTCTGGTATCTGTCCATTCATTAAATAGTATTTTCCACAGGTATGGAAACAGAGAGACGAGCTCAGGGGAGATGTGTGTTACAGAAACTGCAAAACAAACATGCTGCTCATTTATGTTATTAAATGAATAATGGGCTCAGGGGGAGGGGGTAAGCTTGCAGGTGTATGTAATATGTATGAATAGACCCTGAGATATAAT